GGAAGGAGGCCTCCTGGCCCTTTTCCAGCCACTTGTACTCGCCGCGGCCGATCATGGTGTCGCACGCGTTGTCGATGCGCTGGTATATGCCTTCAAGATAACCCCACGATGCCGTGTGCTTGCTGCCGTAGCATTTAAGAGAGTTCCATCGCTTGTCCAGTACTGGGCGGCGGCTGCTCCTACCACACGATCCGTCAGTTTTGTTGCCAACCAGCAGGATTGCGGCGGACAACTTGTCCAACTCCTCCGATGTGGCTCCGGCGAATTGGATTGGAGAGGCAGAAGCCGCTGCTGCAGCGAACATGAATGCACATAGGATCTAAAAGACGGTAGAATTACTTGTGTGTCTTCGAAGGGAATGAATGGGGCAGCAGCCAAACAAATCTTTGCTAAATGCATTGTTTTTCTGGATACTGTATGGAAGCGGTACAGGGGGATTTATCCTACCAAAGAGTACGGAATGAACTAGTACTGGATTGATCCCCCCCCCCCCCCACCGCCGCTCAAGGCTATAGTTACTAAAAACACGGGGAATGGAAAGAAAGCTTCAAAAGTCGAAAATGACGTTATCAATCCAGCAGAGCAAGTTCGCAGCAGTAAAAGGGTCGGTGAACAGCTCTGTGATGCAACAGGAACAGGGGTTATTCGCGGCGGTGACCCGAATCGCAGGGTCGCATGATATATCCGACGAAAGCCTTGGAGATGGGCGGGGGGGGGGGGCAATCACAGTCCATCTCGGAGGGGCGATTTCTGGAAATACCAACGGAGTGGGCCCGCATGCAAAGCAGAGTTTTCATGTGCCAGCCACGTGTACTCATGTTTTTGATATTCCATCTGATCATCAGAAGTCGTCAGCAGCGGCTGTCCCATTGAAAGAAAGTATATCCGTTCATCGGTGGTTTTCACACCGCATTGGCAATTGTGAAGGTTATCCATTCCTTTTTTTTTTCTTTTGTGGAGAGCCGGTAGAGGTGACACCTTCTTGGGGATGTAACTGCTTCGGTGGAATACTTTTGCATCACCTATTATTTATAGCCGGTCGCCTATGCTTTGGCAAACTATTTATGAATGGGTGGACACAGTAGGAGCCTCAGGGGTGTTCTCGGTGGAGCCAGAAGAATGTAAGGGGAGGAAATAAGCGGAATCATCTTGCAACTCCCAACAGATCACGAGCATCCACCCATCTTCCACAACCAAAAAGGGCACCCGTACGCGGCGGGGCTGTGTAGCAGCATACTAAATTCTTTTTATTCTTTACACCAGATACCTAAGTTGTTTGACGTGACACGAGTACCGAAGAGTGATATGTTGAGGGAGTAGGTGGAGAAAGGCGGTCCCCAAATGCCTCACCTCTCAAAAACTGAGGGACTGGGGTTTCATTTGTCGGGATTAATTTACGAATCCGCGCGAGTATCCCCCCAATTAGGGTTGCGAAGCCTCAAGTATCCACCAGTGCCTATCCATAGTGCTCCAGTTATGCCGTCCCCGGAAATTAGCACTGAGCTGTTCCCTTATCTCTATCCTCAAAAAACATAGGCCTAGTAACAAGTACCGAATAAAACGGGTTCGTTGTATAGATATTCCGGAATATTTTGGCTTAACCGAACCCAAAAAGAAGTTGCCTGGTGCTGTGGAGAGTAAAGAAAAACGAAAACATTCAATATTCCTAACAACTAGTGATGGACATAAGCCGAGCCGAGCCGAGCCATAGGTCAGGCTCGAGCCGGCTCGGCTTGTTAGAAGGGGGGCTTGTCAAGCCGAGCCTATCGTGACAGGCTCGAGCTTTGGCTCGAGCCGCCATACAATTTACGCTTGGCGAGCCGGTCAATACGTGGTTGCACGCAGTAACATTGGAGGGGTTGCTATACTATTCTATATCCGAGAGCTCTGATCCGGAATCAAAGCCATCCAGCACTGCTTCGAGCTCAGCATCCATGCCCTCAACGTTGTATACGTCCTGATCCTGACCATATCCAGCTGCTTCGGGTCCGTCATCATGGTCACAATCCCTGCGTGCAGCTCCCTGGCTGTTACCGGCCGCCGGGCCCTTGTTCTGTCCCGCATCCGTATCTTCCTCACCCATGTCTCCCACACCTTCGCTCTCGCTGCTGGATGTATGCTCATCTAAGGCGTCCCTGGTGGTAAAATAGTTGTCAAGGCCATGCAGTTCCCAATCATCGCTGGCCTTGTAGTTGAGCCAGCTTCGGAGAAGTAGAACTGCAGCGCTAGAGTCCTCAAGCATACGGTTTCGCTTTTTGGTGATAATTTGCCCCGCCTGGGAAAAGAGCTGCTCACTTGGGACACTGGAGGCAGGGATAGCCAGATAGTCTCGCGCCATTTTGGCAACAATAGGATAGCGATGTTCGTTGACCTTCCACCAGTCAAGCGGATCATCAACTAGGTCGATGCATGGCTCACAGAGGTAGCGGGAGGTCTCAGAGCTGTCTATACCACTGAAGTTTGCAGGGCGTGTGTTCTGGGTTAGACTTCCAAATATTTTGGTAAGAGCATCGTATGCTTTCGCATCCTTACAAGCAGATGGGGCTGTAGAATTGTCGGCTCGGCGATTGGCGGTTCCTTGATATTGGTCCTGATAGATTTTTTTGAAGTACGCGGTAGTACTCACAACATCTGCCGGCGGCCAACCCATTTTAGCAAATCCATGAGCTTTAAAACGTGGGTCAAGCAGCATAGCCAGCTTAGGATTTGTTAACTTGGATGTATGGTCTCGGTATTTTTCTAGATGGCCGCGAGCTGTATGTCCTGCTTCAAGAAGCACACGTGGTACCTCCTGCAGAGGTTCCATCCGTTCGCAATATTCTTGTAGCTCGGAAATGAGGAATGCAAAGTATGGCAGCTGATAGGACAGCGTTGCATAGTGGCTTCTGGATAGTCGTGTAGTTGCATCAACAAATATACCTAGGAGCTCGCGAAGGTCCTTAAGTAGTGTCTAGTCAGGGGAAGTGAGATGACAGTGAAGCAGTTTATTTTCAGTAGCAATTAAACGCTTGAGAGGTCCTTTGAGGCGAAGAGCACGGTCAATCATATCGTGGGTTGAATTCCACCGTGTTTTCGTATCCATCTTGGGTCGCATGAATTTAACTTTCAGCCGCTGGCACTGTGCTTCGAGCGCTTCCAGAAGGAGGTTTGAAGCCCGAACCTTGGTAAAACTGTGACGAACTAGTGAAAGTACTTCGGCTGGACTTCCTGCAGCCTGCATCGGGGTAAGGTTATGGTGTTGCCTTCCATGCGAGAGGATACGGTTCGACACAGTAGGCCCAGCTGACACAGAGGATTCCACTGCAACACTTCCCTCATCCTCGGGTGCGGTAGCTTTTAGCGTGGTAAGAATCCTTTGTGCGGCCAGATTTATAACGTGCCCCATACAACGTACTTGCGTATTGTCCCGCTTCATCCCAGGTTCCACGTGCTCCAAGCATTTAAAGAACTTGTCGTTGACGGTAGCGTTGTCAGCGGTAATTCCGCAGATTGACTTTATTAAGTTCCAATCTTGAAGAACATTGTGTACAACAGCACAAAGATTTTCTCCAGTGTGGGAACCGCGCAGCCGCCGAAACGCAGTGACCTTGCTTTGAATTTTCCAGGACTGATCGATCCAGTGGGCGGTGACTCCAAGATACGGAACCTGGTTTCCTGCTGTCCATGCATCCATAGTCAGGCTAACGCGTTGGCCCCTTCCCGTATGATCAGCCAATTCAGCCTTCATTTGCTCTTTCTTTTCGTTGTGAAGCTCTTGCACGTCCCGCTGTACTGTACGTCGCCCAACCAGAGGAACCTTCGAAAGAAGATACCGAACCAGTTTGTGAAAGGTGGTATATTTGACAATTGAGAACGCTGAACCTGACTCCACAATAAACTCTGCGAGTAGGTGACGGTAAACCTCTGGGTTGAAAGATTCTCCAATTGCTCGCCCCGACGCTCCCGCCTGCGCTGCTTTAGTCCAAGGTGTTTCCCTGGTCTTCTGTAAATTGTTTCGCAGCTCCACAATCAGTTCCTTTTCCGCTGACTCCTCTGCTGGAATTCCAGGGTGGTGTATCTCCACATGACGTTTCCATGCGCTGGTAGTGGTGTAATCAGCGTTGTATGGTCCCCAGGTTGTTGAGCAGTGACAGCAGCGCACAATATGCTTTTCGTCCTGAGAAGTGGGGTGTGGGTTGGATGAAGTGCCTCGACCACCTTTTGTTCTCCGTCTCTTTGCAGACCGCGCTGGCACTGTGATGGGTACCTCAGTGCCTACGATTTCTCGAAAAATAATGCGCCGCTTATAAAGGAATGCATCAAAGTTGGAATTTTTAAGCCCACTCAGCGTTCGCGCACCGGCATTTCTGTAGTATTCATCTGGCAGACTTTGTTAGTTTCTATCCAGCAACACCCGGAATGCGGTGAAGAGTACCCCACTTCCCACTTATCCTCTGATATAGAGCTTGAATTCGATCGTCAGCGGACGACGCAGCAGTGCCAGGATCTGGGGCCGGCATGGTTGACAAATAGGAGACTCGGAGATGGTAGTGTTGCGAGGAGTGGGGAGGCGAAGGTGGTGGAGTTTAGACGGTTCAGGAAGGGGACGGTGTCACGCGTAGTTGATACATAGGTTAGTTGCTATGGGTTTCCATAGAATGTTCTCGATGAACCCATACCGTGCCAGTGCCGGCACTGTTCATCTCACTCTACAGGTGGTACCATACATAGAAAAGCTCGAGCCAAAGCTCGGCTCGTCAGGCAACAGGCTCGAGCCGGCTCGGCTCGGCGAAGGGTCAGGCTTAACTCGGCTTGGCTCGAGGCTCGAGCTTTCAGCTCGAGCCGGCTCGGCTTATGTCCATCACTACTAACAACCCCCGGCGCTCACTATGAAAAAAAACCCCGCACTTTTAACCACCGGAACATCAAGTTCAGATAAGGTTTCCCAACCCTAACCACCACTAGCACCTCCCTTTCACTTACACTTTCCCTGCCAGCGTCAAACACCGCCCCCCGTAAATGGGGCTCTGGTTTTAGTGGTATAACGTCTCATTCGCATGTCGTGTGATTTGAGAAGGTCTAGAGTTCGATTCCCGAGTTCTCCATTTCAAATTATTTTTTTGCTGCAAGGCTCGAATTGTTGGTGGACATGCGATGCCGGAAGGGCAAAGCCATTTAGTTAGCTCAAGCGCCCATTGCACTGGAAAAGTAATGCCCATCGTTCCGAGAAAAATGCGGTATGAGTATTAAGCGAATCGCTGGCCTGCCAGATGGTGATCGCAAGGTGCGATTTCTTCTTTAATTACCGCGGAACATGGCTTGGAACCTCCTTCTTGTCCTAGAAATTTTGCAGAACGGGGCAACACTTTGCACAGAAAGACGCATCAATCTTATTCTCAAGCCGCAACCCAACGATATAGAACTCATACATCATCATACAGGTATGGTGCAGGCGGCCTTAAACCGACCCGTCGGCGGTGGTGGAGACGGCAACGACTGTTTATAATAAACTGATCACCACGTGAGAACTCTGGGGAAACAGCCCTCCCGTCCCCTAAATAAGATGCGCTCTGTAAGACTGAGGCGCTGGCTTCCACCAATCGCGCAATCTTGTGATGTTATTGAAGTCGGGGAAATTTTGAGCGACAGGTTGGTTTAAGGCCACCTGCACCATACAATCAAACAGTTCCGCGACAAATCCAACCCCAAATCCAAATCCAAATCCAAATCCAAAAAAAAACCCAGCCAGGGAACCAGATGTAACCAAAAGCTAAGTCTGAAAGGATCTATGGCGACGCCAGAAAGGCGATTCAGCTCCTCCTCCTCCTCCTCCTCCGGAATGTGAACTCCACCCGTGAACACGGCTAGCAACCCCAGCAGTCACCATGGCTTCCAAACCGGTCGAGACGCGAGACACACCGGGATTCGGCATGAGCAAACTCCCGTGCGACGTGCCGGAAGGAGGAGGAGCTAAATGAGCCTTGGGCCAGCGTATTTTTCTTCCGCCGCCGGCGGAGGCGGTGGCTCCTCTCGTTCCACCGTTGTGAGGAGTGTCTTTCAAAGACGGTGCCGGTGAAGGCGCTCTCCTTTGGGTACGCCGTAGGTGGATTTCAGGAAACGAGCGAACTTTCCGAACCACCAACGGCTGTTGCTCGCCCTGCTGCTGCATTGGCGATTGTAGGTCGTTCACGATCGCCCCTTCGCTCTGTTTCGCGGAACCATGGCCAAACAAAATGCGGACGGAGAGCATAACCTCTTGCTTCACGTTGAGAGCGCTGATCGTCGACGCCCAGAACTGGCGTAGCACCAGGGCATCATCGACGTAAACATCAAAACTGCCTTGTCTGGAGTGGCGTTTCGCTTGTTCGGGGAAGGCTTCGACTGCCATCTCCAACACCAGTTGGAGTTTCTGCGAGCAACCGTCAGTAGGTTTCTAGCGACGGTGTGTACATGCCTACAGCGGGGTTCGTACTTCCCAGGTGGCTACCGCCTGACATGGAATTAAAAGCTTGTGCTCTGCTGCTGAGCACTTGTCGACATTTAAACCTATCAAAATGAATTGGAAGAGCCTCCCAGGGACCGAATCGAGATTATTGTGAAGGGTTGTCAGGGCTTCTGGTTCTTGTGGCGAATTTTCGTCGGTAACCGGACGTTCTCGAAGGGGTGTTATTATCCTGTGCTTCGCTGATTCCGGTTTTTTTTGAGTGTCTACGTGAGTTCCAGTTGAGTGAAAGGACATTTTGTCCGGGGCATTGTCTTCAATACTGACGTGGTCCATCCTACTCGCAGTATCCTCGAGCTTGGTTTGCAGCGGAGGTTGCCCGAACTCCTGCGCGTCATACTTTCCCCCTTTCATTTCCGAAGGACCGCCGCCGCTTGATCCTCCTGTGCAGCTTTCTGGCGTTGTGTTGATAATCTGGGGACCAACTTCCGGTTGCACTTCGACGGTAGCCACTAATTGATCCTCTAATAGCGTTGCAATAGCAACCATTGGTTTTACTGGGATTGGGGTGGCAGGGATACTTTGGGCCTCCTTCTTATCATCGCTTCCTGTAACATGAACCAAGGGTATGGTCACCGTGCTCCCTGGCGGTGGTGTTGGAGGGGTCTCGATAAGTTGTGGTACGGTACCGCTCCAGTTATCCCATGTTTCGAAGCGATCGATCATCGCCTCTTGCTCTTCTGGTTCAAACGTACAAAACGTGATCGCATTCTCCCCATCACCCGCAGAGCCGAGCCCAAGCTTTTGGCGCACATACTCGATCTCGGCTCTTCGGGCTTCCCTACGCACCGTTTCGAAGTCTTCAACGTGGCCCTCGCGGCGCTTATGTTTGCGTTCCCAGCTCCAACTTTCTTGGGCCGAGCGAGACGACCGCTGCATGAGTTCAAGCTCTAATTGTGCCTGGGCGGATAACGGTGGCAGCTTTACGCTTTCAAGCCACGTTCGTACGACACTGGGGTCAAAAACCTCCTTCATATACGGTTCCAAATCGTCGACGAACGAGGGCTTCTCATCTGAAAAAAAAAACATAAAAAAAACAAATGGGGATCAGCATTTAAACGATGAGTGCGGCTGAAATCTTTGGCGAACCTAATTCTTTTCGCTGTCGAGAAGATAGTGCCAGGTCTAACGCAATGACCCCGGAGCGCTGAAGTTGCTGGAGATTCTCTGGTTTTTGCTTTTGCACCGACGTATGTAATGGTGGTGGTGGTCGCTCGCTGGTCACGGGGGTTTTGAGCTCCTCTAGCAGCTCTTGCAATTTTTTGCGTGTCGGTGGAGAGCTTTTGGATTCTTCCGATTTTGGTGGGAATTTGATGCACAGTCTTACGCGGTGCGTTAAAACACGGTTATATCCAAATGTGAATAACGAATATGGAGCAAAAATCACACCTTGCATTCGTGGCCACTCTTTCCTGGTCCGTTCCCACCCCTCCATCTATGCAAATCTCCTCCAACTCTGAAGTTGCCGAGTGTATATAGGCCTTAAATCTTCCGATTATTCGTTGTCGATGCTGGAAAGAGGAAGTTAAGCCGATTGCAGCCGCAAGTGTGACGATGAGCAAGATCATCGCAAACGTCATCCAAATCCACATCGCTGGAGGAGGTTGAAATCCTTTGACATTCATGCTAAAAACAGACGCGGCAAAACTAATGATTATCAGTGTCTTGATACTCGGAGCTCGGACTGTCATCCGCGAATGTGAACGCCCACCTCAAGGGGAGATAAATGAGAGTGATCCATGTGAGTTTTCCAACTGAAGTACTTTCACGGATAGCCATCGTGTTGTACACCTGTTCCATGAATTAGATTTTGCATGCGCACTAGATATCGGCGAGTAGACCTGGCTGATGAGATTATTTGTTTGCTTCGACAACACATCCAAGACTGCCTGATGTCGCTTGAGTCTGGTTTCCATTTCTGCAACCCGAGAAATAGCGGATCCAGGAGGATGCTGGTTTGTCGAATTGACGCAGTGAACAAAGCCCTCTATGATGGCCATTTGAACTCTGTACGCGAACACCACTATCAGCAAACGTTGCCGTGGCTAAAGCCACAGGTGATTTGGCACCTCAACATTTCATGTAGCTCAATGTGAATAGCAGTGTCCTTGTGAAGAGCTTTGGTTAAGTCTAGTTCGGGATGGTTGGCGTTTTGTTCCTGGAAACGCGGTTAGATCAGGACAACGTCGGATGCAGGACGGAATCTAATGCCTCAATCCACAATTGTGCTTTGGTGTTTTCCAAGATGTTTGTCCAGTCGTTCATTTGGTGGAAAACATCCCACACAAGCCAGTGAATGTCCTGACACAGTCGTTCGCTTTTGGCGGTATCGCTCACGAATTTGTTCACCAACGACGAACCGAGAGGTTCATTGTTGCTTTCATTGCACATGACAACGGCCGTTTTCAGGTCACGATGAGGGATATGCCCAAAAAATATGTGGGAGCGGGTGAATTGAATTTCGTTGCCACCTTTCAACTATCAGTATTTCTCGGCGCACCTGGTGTTTCGGGTTCTGAGACCTACCGAGTGCTTCAAAAGATAGACAGCTCCGGCCCTCCGCGCGAAGCTGGGGCACAATTCTGGCGTTGTCCATAGTGATGGAGTAACCCGCTTCCCGAATATGTCAGCCGTTGGCCTATCTTATCCGAGTTTGGTGTGCCTCACACGAGTCTTCCACAGACTTAAGTTGCACGTAGTGCTCGTCCGCCCAATCCAAAAAGAACTCTACGGGTATCTTGCACTCGCTTCCGATCAACGCGGCTGACCAGCTCGTGATACCATCGACTAGACTGTCATCGGAACCCGTCAACGTGAGCTCGTATGTCAGAGCTTGGGGGAGGACTCTTACAAGATACGCGAACTCTTTTGTCTCCTTTGCTGTGACGGGAGTCAACCTTTTCCATACAGTAAAAAACATAACGTTTTTTTTTTTACCGAAGAAAGGATGAAATCAAACAGCGAATCTTCCGACGTGAAGGGACTGTTTGCCGTCAGTTCACCTTAGGAAACAAGACTCGAACTCGTCAGTCCAACATGAGACCCTTGTCACAAGATTTGCCCCACACAGAAATATGGACGTACCTCTGTGTGCACTACAATCGACGACCCACACGCGGCTCACCTTGCCTCGCGTGGAGTTATGAAATTCGCGGATGCGCGGTACAAGGTTTCTATTGCGCATGCACGCCTTGTAATACGCATGCATTTCGCTCTCGGCGATAAGGCCTCCTCCACTCCGTGGCAGCTGACAATGCGTCGCCATCATTGCCACCCCCGGCGCCATGGCCATGTCTGTCGTGTTCCGAAGAAGTTGGCCGATAGATGGCGTGCGAGGGTGCGCGAACCCTATCTTCGAAAGAAAATCCATTGTTCGCTCACCGAAAGCGCTCGCGAGGAGGGGGGAAGGAGGAGGAGGAGATGTGCGGGGGGAAGCTGGGAGAGAAGTCGCCTACATTGTCGTGCGCAAATCCTCGCAGATAACTAGGCGCCAACAGAATAGGCAACCAATCATGCGCACAATCCCCCCACACCTTCTTTGCAGTACATATGCACGATGCAGCCCTGCCCCGCACGGGTCTCCTTCATCCCGCGTTTGCGAGC